AATCTTTCATTATCTTTTCTAAGATATCTGTGTGTTTCACATGTTTTTCATATTTTGTGTAAGGTAAGTATGGGAATGACACCTAGGTTACTTGGAGAGTGAAGACTTCTTTTCAGAAAAACTTTGCAAACTTAAGTATCTGAAAATACCATTAAGCTTTTTGTTTGTGGTAAATTTTAAGTTGAATTGTATTTACGTGGAAAAAAAATCTTCCCACAGAATTTGTATTTTTTTCCCCAACTTTAGATTCATTAAGATAAGATAGTCTTTAGATACTTTAGATATTCTTGTTTTAAGTGGTCATATGTAGTAAGAAGTATTTTCCTAGAAGAAATAATATAAACAATCAACGTACGTTAAATATAAGCAAAATCTCACTAATAAGGAAAGAGGTGAAAATTAAACCATAGGATTTTTTTTTTCCCTCCTATAAGATTGACAAGGAAGAAAAATATTGCTAATCTCAGTGATAGTGAGGGCTTGGGGGAGTAATAGTTAACATTTGCATAGTACTCTGCATTGAGGGGCCTTTCACAAAGGTTTGAGGAGGTATGTGGGATTATCTCCATTTTGTACTTGGGAAAACCAAAACTCAGAGGAAGATCTAGTGGTACAGAATAAGGAACACAACAGGCTTGAGCTCCAGTCATCCTCTGCAGTTTTCCATTCCTCCAGCCCACTATGGAAAAAAGTGATTGGACCAGATCCTGGCCAGAGCCCTGTTTTTTCCTTTTATTTTACTAGTACTGATAGTAATTTGGTTTCCCAGTAGACAACTTGTAGGGAAGTGATTTTCAAAGCAAGTCCTTTGTTCATTTCTCCCAGGTGAATGCAGTTACACTTGCATTTTAACACATGAATACAGGGCCATTTAGTATATTATTAAAGAGCTATCAAAATGTTATGCTGCAGTTCTTTACTAGGGCTAACTGAAGGTATTAGTCAGTATTCTGAAGAAATTTGTCTGTTGAATAATTCACAGCCAAGTTGCTCAGTTCCTGTGAATGCATTATCAGTTTTGTCATAAATTGGTTTTAGTTTTTTTGTTGAGTCTCCTGTTTTGACTTTTAAATTATTGTTAGCTTTAACGCTATTAACTTACTTTTCTAATAATTGAATTTGAAGATAGTGTACATTACAGTTTGAATTTAAATAATCTATACAGTTACCTGAACAGATGGATATATCCTCTCAAATTTTGCTATATGATAACATTGTTATCAGGTTATTTTTCTAGTGGAGTAGGAGTAGATGATACAGGGTCCTAAGGGTCCTAAATTTGCAAATATGCCTGAAACCTATTACTATAGGATAAGCCACTGCCATTGAGTCAATTCCAACTCATAGTGACTCTATAAGACAGAGTAGAACTGCTCATAGGGTTTCCAAGGGTATAAATCTTTATGGAAGCAGACTGCCTTCTCTTTTCTCACATGGAGCAGCTATTTGAACTGCAAACCCGTTGATTAGCAGCCAAATGCTTTAAGCACTTTACTACTAGAGTTCTCTTTTATAGAATGTTGTTGTTATTATGTGCCGTCGAGTCGGCCCCGACTCATAGCGACCCCTCCTTGGGTGTCCAAGGCAGCATCACTACGGAAGTAGGATTGCCCAACCTTCCTTCCGAGGAGTGCTTTTATAGAATAGAGTGTATGTATTACTGTACATGAGTAGTTTTCTCTTGGTAGATGCCGTCGAGTTGGCTTCCACTCATAGCGACCTTCTGTACAACAGAATGAAGCACGCCTGGTCCTACACCACCTTCACATCATTGCTATGCTTGAGCCCATTGTTGCAGCCTCTGTGTCATTCTATCTAATTTAGGGTTTTCCCCTTTTTTGCTGACTGTCTCCTTTACCTAGCGTCATATCCTTCTCCAGGGACTAGTCCCTTTTGACAACATGACCACAGTATGAAAGATGAAGGCTGGTCATTTTTGCTTCTAAAGAGCATTCCAACTATATTTTCTCCAAGACAGATTTGTTTTTCTAGCAGTCCGTGGTACATTCAATATTCTTTGCCAGCATCACAATTCAGATACGTCATTTCTTATGCAGTCTTCCCTATTCATTGTCCAGCTCTCACATGCATATGAAGTTACTGAAAATACTATGGCTTGGGTCAGGCACACTTTAATCTTCAAAGTGATGTATTTGTTCTTTAGCACTTTCAAGCGGTCTTTTGCAGCAGATTTCCCCAATGCAATATGTTTGATTTCTTGACTCCTGCTTCTATGAGCATTGATTGTGGATCCAAGTAAAATGAAATCCTTGACAACCTCAGTGTTTTCTCCATTTATCATGATATTGCTTCTTGGTCTAGTAGTGAAGATTTTTGATTTCTTGATGTTGGTATGTAATCCATAGAGAAGACTGTAGTCTTTGGTCTTAGTAAGTACTTCAAGTCATCTTCACTTGCAGTAAACAAGATTGTGTTGTCTGCATATCACAGGTTGTTAATGAGTCTTCCTCCCATCTTTATATGACATTCTTCTTCATCTAGTCCAGCTTCTTGGATTATTTGCTCAGCATACAAATTGAATAAGTATGGTGAAAGAATCCAACCCTGACACACTCCTTTCCTGATTTTAAACTGTTCATTATCCTTTTGTTCTATTTGAATAACTGCCTCTTGTTTCCTCATGAGCACAATTAAGTGCTCTGGAATTCTGATTATTTGCAGTGTTATCCATAATTTGTTATGATCCACCCAGTTGAATGCCTTTGCGTAGTCAATAAAGCACAGGTAAACACTCTTCTGTTATTCTTTTCTTTTAGACAAGATCCATCTGAAATCAGCAATGATAGCCCTCCTCAATTTCTTCAGAATTCAACTTGAATTTCTGGCAGTTTGCTGTTAATTTATTGCTATAAATGTTTTTGAATGCCTTCAGCAAAATTTTACTTGCATGTGATATTAATGATACTGGTTGATAACTTCTGCATTCTTTTGGAGCACCTTTTTTTGGAATGGGAACAAATACGAATCTCATCCAGTTGGTTGGCCAGTTAGCTCTATCTTCCAGATTTCTTGGCATAAACTAGTGAGTGCCTTCAGCACTGCATCTGTTTGTTGAAACATCTCAATGAATATTTGGTCAATCCTGGAGCCTTGTTTATTGCCAGTTCCTTCAGTGAAGCTTGGACTTCTTTCTTCAGTACTATCGATTCTTTGATCATATGCTACCTCCTGAAATGGTTGAACATTGAAAAATTCTTTTTGGTACAAAAAATGACTGTGTATTCTTTCCATCTTCTTTTGCTACTTCCTACATCATTCAGTATTTGCCTATAGAATCCTTCAGTATTGCAACTTGAGACTTGAGTGTTTTCTTCAACTCTTTCACTTGAGAAACGCTGAGCATGTTGTTCTTTGATTTTTCAGCTCCAGATCTTTGCACATTCCATAGTAATACTTTACTTTGTCCTCTTGAGCAACCCTTTGAAATTGCTGTTTAGTTCTTGTACTTCGTTACTTCTTCCATTTGCTTTACCTACTCTCCATTCAAGAGTGAGTTTCAGAATCTCTTCTGATATCCATTTTGCTCTTTTCTTCCTTTCCTGTCTTTTTAAAGACCTTTTGCTTTCTTCATGTATGATGTCCTTGATGTCATCCCATAACTTGTCTGGTCTTCAGTCAGTGGTGTTCAGTGCATCAAATCTGTTCTTTATATAGTCTTTAAATTGTGCAATGGGTATATTTTTCTCTTGTCATGACCTACATTTATAAAGTTTTTCATTTTTTAATGCGATTTTTAATTACAGAAAAACTCCCAGTTTACTTGGAATTGTTTTGCTATTATTTTTTACTTTATTTTTCTTTTAGAATGGAAAATTGGTCACTGCTGTATCTAACAATACTGTTCAAGTTCATACATTTCCTGAAGGAGTTCCAGATGGTATATTGACACGCTTTACCACAAATGCAAACCATGTGGTCTTTAGTGGGGATGGTGCTAAAATTGCTGCTGGATCCAGGTAAGGCTCTGTTTTGGTTACCTAGTGCTGCTCTAACAGAAAAATATCACATATGGGATGGCTTGACCAAACAGAGCTTTATTCTCCTACTATTTAGGAGTCTAGAAGTCTATGTATAAAGTGATAGGTTCCAGGGGCTGGGTGGAAAACCCCTCGACCTTGGGCTTGGGTTCTGCCTCTTGCTCCAGGCCCACTGAAGCTAGAAGCTTTCTTCACTTAGGCAGCTGCTGGCTGCTGAGGCTGACAAACCCAAGGTCGACGAGTAAAAAGGAACAGTCCCAATATTACCAAATTACACAGCAGGTCATTAATTCAAGTCCATTAAAAATCCCAGGATCGACAGGCAACATAGCAGGCTGCTGAATGAAGACTTGTTTATATGCAGGGTTCAAATGTGCCAAAAAGCTTCAGACCTTTCTCAGTGTTTCTCCTTATATACTAGAAGCAAACCACATTCCTAAGGCAGGTACTCAGCTGCTTCAGTACATTCTACCATGGAGTTGATTATCAATCTCATCATGGGGAATAACTACATCCGCCTGCCCAACCACTCAAAACCACGGCCCAACCAAGTTGACACACAGCTTAACTACCACAGGCTTCTTGACAATAAAAGGATATATAAGGATATAGTGTTGGAACAGAATGGCCTCATTCATTGGTTTTCAGCTAACAATTTCAGGATCCTCTCAAGTCTTTTATCTAGTAAAGTTCCTTGAGGATAAACTTTGCTTCTCTACAAATGAAGATAGAATGCTTTCAAACAGCCTATTCAGTAGATGCTAAAAAAAGGTTGGGGGAAACTTGTTTGTTAAAAAATTATTTTAGGTAGAAATGGGATTGTATAATCTGGAATTTTGCTATTTCCCTTGATGTTTATGTTTCTTAAGAAATAAATGTGATGGATTGAGTTGCTAAGGTAGATTGAAAGCCATAATATACTATACATTTAAGAATGGTGTGGGTGTGATTACCAAATAATAGGTGCTATGTAACTAAGGAAGGAGCTCTGGTAGCATAGTGCCTAAGGCACTTGACTGCTAACCAGAAGGCTGGCGGTTCAAACCCACCAGCCACTCCTCGGAAGGAAGGTTGGGCAATCCTACTTCCGTAGTGATACTGCCTCGGAAACCCAAGGAGGGGTCGTTACGAGTTGGGGCCGACTCGACAGCAAGTAACAACAACGACAACATGTAAGTAAGGAAGCTATGAAGGAAGTCTGTGTTTTAATGTAAGGGGAAATCATGATTTGGGTTTTCAAAACTAAAAGGTATATCATTAATTTTCAGATGCCTGATTTCACAAATTGCTATAAAGAAATGGCATTTACTTTTGTGATTTTGAAATATTTGGGTCATAGGTTTTAGGAGAGGCTTTTATATTTGCATTTATTCATGTGCATTGTTCTTTCTGTTTGTAGTGATTTTATAGTCAAAGTTGTGGAGGTGATGGATAGCAGCCAACAGAAAACCTTTCGAGGACATGATGCCCCTGTGTTAAGTCTTTCCTTTGATCCTAAGGACATCTTTCTGGTAGTCATTTTCCCTCTCTTTTTACTTTGTTCCTGAGTATTTTTGAAAGTATAAGAATTAGCAGAAAATTTTATGCAGTTGATAAAAGGCTATTTGATGTTTTAATTGAACCAGTCTCTCATATAGAAGTATGGCTATAACTATAGAAAAATCTACTGTTCATTCCTGCAGGCATCAGCTAGTTGTGATGGATCTGTCAGAGTGTGGCAAATTTCAGATCAGGTAAATGCATCAATTGGAATTTAAAACGTTTATCCTTTCTTGCATATATTGGGTATTACATGTTGTATTATTGAGCCAAATTAATAATTGTTTTTCTTTATAGCTTATCTCTTTGATTAGCTTTAAATACTGTTTTTGTTTTCAAATTCCACAATAATCTAATACAAAAGTAAATATTAAAGACTGCTTGCTTTTGCTCTTAGTTACATAGGATATTATAGATTTATATTTCATTTTTAGGTTTGTAAATCAGTGAGGAAAATTCCATTATTACATATTTACAAAAAATATGTTGGGCCTTGTGTTAGATGTTGGAGATACAAAAATAAAATAGGGCATGAGAATGACATGTACCATTTTTTCTAACCCAGCCTGCTAAAGATGTTAGAAGAGACATGAAGAAAGTACTCTCTGCAGCGGCAAAGGGGAGAGTTAATTCTCTCTGAAATTAGAGTTGACATTTCTAGAGATAATGTGGCTATGAGAAAAATACCCACAGATAGGCCTCAATATCCACAGTCCCTTCCCTTCATTCTTCAACTATTTTACAGGATTGATTTTGACACCTTAACATTTTATACTAGAGCTTTCAAGTTTTATTAATTTTTGTAGATACTTTATGATTTTAAATATATGGGTTGTATATATATGTAAAGGTTATTCAATGAGTGTATTGATTATTTTACACAGGAAATATTCATATTTAATTCAGTTATTTAGACTTGTGTCTTCATACTTCTGAAGGACTTAAAGCAATTTAGGCAAATCAAATATTATCATAATTAGATTAAAGCAAATTAAGTTGCTTTTTTTCTGAGAAAACTACCTATTAAATATACTCAGTTCTGCATATATTTTTCGGGGTGACCTTTTTAAAGGAGAAATTGTTTATTTTTATTTTTTTAATTAGACATGTGCCATTAGCTGGCCACTGCTGCAAAAATGCAACGATGTGATAAATGCAAAATCAATCTGCAGACTTGCTTGGCAGCCAAAAAGTGGTAAGGTAAGTGATTATTAGTTTTCAACCTTTGTCCTTGTTCCAGTCCTGTCAACTTTGAATGTAAGAATAGTTTTTAAATTATAACTGTTTCACTTGGATTATAAATTTTAGAACCCCAAGCCAACTAATTAATATTAAAAATGCTTTAAGAAACATTTTGTTTTTAAGTTTGCAAGTGACCATCTAGGTGCAGTGATGGGTCTCTCCTCATCTGGGGCAAAGGAGAATGAAGAAAATCAAAGATGCATGGAATCCTCAGCCTATATGACTGTGAGACAAGAAGAACTAGATGGTGCCCAGCTACCACTGTCAACCACTCAGAGGGTGGTTAAAAAAAAGAATCTTTAAAAACTTAAAATGTTTTTTTTTTTTTTTTTAATTGTGATTTGGGTGAAAGTTTATATAGCAAATTAACTTTCCATATAGCAGCTCACATATACTTTGTCTCATGACTTTGACTGCAATTTCCCACAATGCAACTGCTCCCTCTCACTTCCTCCCCATAGTTACTTCTTCCCTCCCATGCAGTCATGCACCCTGATCTGCATCCTTACGCATACCCAGACCTTCTATTCTCCCATGAATGATCTCTCCAAGGAGTGTATCTACCTAATGTAAATGTTCAGCTCATATGCCTGTCTTTTGTTTGGCTGGAAGCTATGAGAGTGGGTTCAATTCCAGACCTGAAGGGCAGCTAGGGGCCATAGTCTCAGTGGTTCCATCAGGTTCTATCAGATCAGAAAATCTGGTCCCCTTTTTTATTTTTAAATGATTTGAGTTTTGCTGCAGATTGTTCTACCACTCTATCCAGGATCTCCTACATAGATCCCCCTCTGAGTGGTTTACAGTGGTAGCTGGGCACCGCCCAGTTCTTCTGGTCTCATATAGGCCGAGAATCACATGGTGTACCGGTTACATGGACTAATTGTTTCCATGCATCTTTGGCTTTCTTCGTTCTTCTTTGCTCTGGTCGAGGGAAGACCCCTCATTGCATCTAGGTGGCTACTTGCAAGCTTTTAAGATCCCAGTCGCTGCTTGCCAAAGTAGGATATGGAACTATATTTTTGTGTAGTAGGTTATGCCAGTTGAACTTGATGTCCCCTACAGCTATGGTCTCGAGTCCACAGGTCCAACTACTTACTCTGAGTAGTGGGCTGTGACCAAGAGTGACTACCACCTTGTCCCTTCTCAGCTTTACTATATACCTGGGAATTCTTACGGAGCATATAAATACACTTGTAGAAACATACAAATAGACTTGGAGAAATATTGTCTGCCAACCCTATACATGATCTTGGGTACACTCCCCACTGCATAGACATACCTAATTGTTCAGCCTGTCTACCCATCTGTCTACCCATATATTAATGTTTGCCTTCACTGACAACGTATGTACAGAAAGGTTCATCTTTGTTGTCTGTACCTCCACTGCACTTTTGCATGTCTTCCTCTTCCTCAGTGCCACCATGTTGATTACTCACATTTGGTGCATTGCCCTTCACTTCACCCAAGTCAATACTTGTCTCTACCTATCTAACAGTGTTCCCCCCCCCCTTATACCCCTGGTAACTAACAAAGAAAATTTCTTTCCATATATAAACCTTTCCTTGACTTTTTATGATAATAGACTAATACAATATTTGCTTTTCTGTGACTGACTTATTTCACTCAGCATAGTGTCCTCCAAGTTCATCCACATTATGTGGTGTTTTGTAGATTCTACATTATTCTTTAAGGTTGCATAGTATTTCATTGTGTGTATGTACCATAGTTTGGTTATCCATTCTTCTGTTGATGGGCCCTAGGTGGTTTCCATAAAGATTCTTTTTTAAAGTTGTACATTTTACACGATTGAATTAAGTTTATGTTTTTCTAAGTTCATGCTTAGTGGAATAACTGGAAATCATTGGATTGTGTCACTCTCACCATTAGAATTGAACATTTTGGAGATCCTAGCTGATGTAGTTAGGCAGCAGAAAGAAATGAGAGGTTTGAAAGGAGGGAGGAGGATGCTTATTATTTGCAGATAAAATGCTTATATATGTGCACACCATAAGAAAATCAACTGGGGAAAAAGGACAATTACTAATAACAGAAAAATTCAGTAAGATGACTAGAAGCAAAGTTAATATACAAGACTGTAACAATCCTATATACAAACAATAGCTATTTAGAAAATACAATGGAAAATAACCCATTTACTGTGAAAAAATAAATAATAAACTTAGCGAATGTGAAACATCTATATAAAGAAAAGTATTACCATGCTACCAAGTGACATAAAAGACTTGGATAAACATATCTTGTTTTTAGGAAGGAATTTTTGATATAATAAAGATATCAATTCTTCCTTAAGTTAATCTGTAGATTTAACAGAATTACATATATAATAGCAATAAGGATGTTTGGGGGCACCAAATAAAGCTGATTCCAAAGTCTGTGTGGAATACTAAAGTCTTGAACATCAAAGTGATGATGGGAGTCTAATACAATCAGATATTAAAACATGGAGTACAGAATGTGTCTAAAGAAAATGTTGCATCACTGTAGTAACAAAAGATTGGAGCCATCCTAAAAGTTAACAGGAGACTGGCTAAATAAATTACAGTATTCCTAGAAGTGGAATGCAACTGTTACAAAGAATGAAATATAATCTATATGTTTGTTGAATAATGTTCAAGGTAAATTCTTAAGTGAAAAATATTAAGGTATAGAACAGTGAGTATAGATAGAATGCTGGTGTTTGTGTTAATAAAAAATAAAAGTGGCTGTGTGTATGTACTTACATATGTGTGTATGAATGCTGCATAGTTTAAAATCAGGAAAGGTGTGTGTTGGGGTTGTATCCTTTCACCATACTTACTGTCAATCCGTATGCTGTACAAATAATCAAGAGGCTAGAGAACACGAAGAAGAATGCGGCATCATGATTGGAGCAAGACTCATTAACAACCTGTAATATGCAGATGACACAACCTTGCTTGTCCCAAGTGAAGAGGACTTGCACTAACTGATGAAGATCAAAGACTACAGTATGGATTACACCTCCACATAAAACAAAAATCCTCACAACTGGACCAATAAGCAACTTGACAATAAATGGGAAAATTATTGAAGTTTGCTTATAAAAATTTCAAGTAATTTTTTTTTTGTTAGTTGCCATTTAAATAGCAGATGGTTTTTATATCTTTAAGCTTATCTGGGTTACCTTGTGGTGTCTTTTCCTCTTTAGACTGAATTTAATGTAAACTTTTTAAAAATTATTTGTCTGTGTTAATAGTTACTGGCAATTCCTGTGGAAAAATCTGTTAAGCTCTATAGAAGAGAAACTTGGAGTAATCAGTTTGATCTTTCAGATGATTTCATCTCTCAGGTAAGTTTTGTAAGTGACATTTTCAATAGGCTAAAGGGGCTTTTTATTATAATGATGATTGGGGTGAAAATTTACAGAGCAAATTCATTTTCCATGTAGCAGTTCATGCACATTTTGTTTCGTGACATTGACTGCAATTCCCCACAGTGTTCTTTTCCCACTTCCTCCCTGCAGTTACCTCTTTCCTGTGTCCTCCTTTCCTGTGCGTTCCTGCCCCCTGAGCTATTTCTCTGTGCAAATACTGCCCTTCTGTTCTTCCATGAATGATTGTTCTAAGGTGTGTATTTCCCTGATGTAAATGTTCACCCTATATGCCTGTCTGTTACTTGGCTGGAAGCCACAGGAGTGAGTTCAATTCCAGACCTAACGGGTACCTAAGGGCCATAGTCTTGGGGGTCTCACCAGGGTCTGTCAAACCAGTAAACGTTATCTTTTTTAGGATTTTGAGTTTTGTTACACATTGTTCTCCCACTCTATCTAGGATCTCCTGCATTGATGCTTTTCTGAGTTGTTGACAGTGATAGCTGGGTACTGTTCTGGTCTCATGGTCATATGGTCTGAGGTTCACATGGTCCACTAGTCCCTTGAACTAATTGTTTTCATGCATCTTGGATTTTCTTCATTCTTTGCTTTGGATGAGGAGAGAGCAATTTCTGTATCTAGATGGCTGCTTGCAAGCTTTTTTTTTCTTTTTTTTAAATTGTGATTTGGGTGAAAGTTTACAGAGCAAATTCACTTTCCATACAGCAGTTCAAATACGCTTTGTCTCATGATATTGACTACAATTTACCCCAATGCATCAGCTCCCTTCCTACTTCCTACCGATAGTTACCTCTTTCCTGTGTCCATCCCTCCATGCACTCCTGCCCCTTGAGCTGTGTCTCCCTGTGTGCATACACAGCCCTTCTATTCTCCTATGATTGTTCTCTCCAAGGAGCCTGTCTTTTGTTTGGCTGGAAGCCACAGGTGTGGGTTCAGTTCCAGACCTGAAGGGCAGTTAGAGGCCATAGTCTCAGTGGTTCCACCAGGCTCTATCAGACCAGAAAACCTGGTCCCTCCTTTTTTTTCCCAAATGATTTTGAGTTTTGTTCCACAATGTTCTCCCTCTCTATCCAGGATCTCCTACATAGATCCCCCTCCGAGTGTTTGACAGTGGTAGCCGGGCACCATCTAGTTCTTCTGGTGTCATAGTCAGTCGTACAGGCTGTGGATCACATGGTATACCAGTCATTTGGAGTAATTGTTTCCACGGATCTTTGGTTTTGCTCATTCTTCTTTGCTCTGGATGAGGAAAGATCCATCATTGCATCTGGATGGCTGCTTGCAAGCTTTTAAGACCCCAGTTGCTACTCAACCAAAGTAGCATGTAAAACAGTGCTTTTGTGTAGTTATGTTATGCCAATAGAACTTGATGTCCTTTGAGATCATGGTCCCAAGCCCGTGGGTCCAACAACTTGGTTCATGAGGGTGGTTGACTGTGCCTAAGAAGTTATCATAACTTTGCTCCTTGTTAGTTCCAGTTGTATGGACATTCTTACAGCACATACAAATACCTATGCAGAAATATCATCTGCCAGCCTTATTATATATAGTCATTGGTATATTCCCTTTTGCCTAGCCATGCCTGATCATTCAGCCTGTCAACCCACCTATGTACCTGTAGATTAATGTTTGCTATCACTGATAACACAGTGTTACATATGTAAAAGTGTTTATTTTTGTTGTCTGTACCTCTTGTGTATACCTGTGTCTTCCTTTTCCTTGGTGGTATTGTGTTGGTCACTTGCTTTTGATATCAAGCCTTTCTAAAGGGGCATTTTAATGCATACTTTGAGTACATACAGTTGCAGTTAAATATCACTGGAAGTGGAGAACAGCGCCAAACTGTTGTGAATATGTCTGTCTCCCACCCACTCATCTTTTCCTGGTTTGGCCAATACCTGGACAGTACATAAGTGTTACCTAACCTCTTTCTTTTGTGAGATTTGATAAGAAAATCTCTTTTTAATTTATACAAAGTCCAGTTTAACCTTAGCTTAGTATTAGGACAACTAATTGTCACATTGTCAGTAATTAGCCTTTATTGTTAAATGTTTCCCTGAGACTTGTGATCCTAGACTCTGGAATCTTAGAGGAGCAGAAAAGGCTTATTGATCCATTATCATTCATTCTCTCTCTCTCTCTCTCTCTCTCTCTCTCGCCCTCCTCCTCCTCTCTCTCTCTCTCTCCCCCTCTCATGCCACATTCACATATGCACATACATTTTGCACATAAAGGAAACGTAGGCCCAGTAGGTCAGTAATGGCTTACTGTGGTTTTCTTTACTCACTAGCTGTCTTCATCTTGATCAGAACTGCTAAGAGGATACCTTGTGTTATCTCCTTTCAATTGCTTTTTCAGGATAACAACATTTTTTATATTAAAATAACAATTTAAAAATTTTAAAATTGTGCCAGTATAGTTTTCTCATGGTAAACAGATAATAACTACTAGAGACTATTGACTATTATTGAGAAAGAAAGTTGAGAAAGAAAGTTAAAAAACAAGCAAACTTTGTCCTGCCATTTGTATATCAGATCTAATTAGAAGTTAAATAGAATAAAACCAAAAACTAAGCTCACTGCCATCAAGTTGATTCTGACTCATAGTGACCCCCTTGGGTTTTCGAGGCGGTAAATCTTTGTTGACGTAGGTTGCCCAGTCTTCCTTCTGCTGAGTGGCTGGTGGGTTTGAACCACCAACCTTCTGGTTAGCAGTCAGATACCTTAGGCACTATGCCACCAGGGCTCCTTGTTAAAGAGAATAAGGGATAACTTTGACTTTGGAAATAAAATGAGTGTTTAGTTTCACATTATACAAAAATTGTTATTTGTTAACTGTTTTTCTTCATAGACCCTCAATATAGTAACCTGGTCTCCCTGTGGACAGTTTTTAGCTGCAGGGAGTATTAATGGTTTAATTGTAGTTTGGAATGTGGAAACCAAAGATTGCCTGGAAAGGTATGATTCAATATCTTTTGTCCCTTTACTGCTTATATCTATTAGTTTTTTGTTTGTATTATTATGATATGTTTCAGTTTTACAGTTGTTATATTGTCAGTGTGCAGATATACAGCTATTAGATTGTCAAAAGTCATTTAACCTTTTCTAGTTAGTTTCAAGAGAAGATGGCAGGAATACACAGAGTCACTGTACCAAAAAGAACTGATC